ACTCATCAAGTACATTACCGTTCATAAATATAGGAAATTCTAAATTATTGCAATAACGATTGGCTGAAAAAATAAGATTTTTTTCTGAATTAAAGTTCACCAGCCACTGTGAGTCCAATGCTGTAGCAAAAGTGAGATCCTTTTCAAGCTTAAATGCCCACACCAAGCAATCAGAGGGAGTTGGCTTCTTATCATGACAAGAATAAATGGTAGTATCATCAGCAAACAATGCCACCTTGTGATGTGAGAATTTCTGGGAGATCGTTAATGTAAATTAAAAAGAGTATAGGGCCAAGGATTGAACTTTGAGGAACCCCTGAGGTTACTGAATAAGAAGAAGAGTGCTATCCATCAAGGACAACATTTATATTATGATTGGAAAGGAAGGATTCAATAATCTTAAAGATGTTTCCAGATAAACCATAAGAAAAAAGCTTATGGAGAAGACCAGCATGCCAAACTATATCAAATGCTTTAGAAATGTCAAGAGCAATGACCTTAACCTCTTCATCTTTATCTAATGCACGATAAAACCTATCGGTTATTACTGTTAGCAAATCAGCCGTAGAACGAGAAGATCGAAATCCATATTGATGATCAGAAAGTAAGGTATTAGATTCAAGATGAGAGATTAAGTGTTTGTTAATTAATATTCAAAAATCTTTCTTATGAGAGTAAGAAGACTAATGGGACGGTAGTTAGATGAATCAGATTGCTCTCCAGACTTTTTTAAAATAGGGATAACAGATGCTGTTTTTCATCAGGCTGGAAAACAAGACTCTGATAAACACTTGTTGAATAGTTTTGAAAGGATAGACTTCAGCTCAGGAGAACACTTCTGCAAGACTATAACTTAGCAAACAATTCAGCTTTGTCTTTAGGTGAGGTGACAAAGTCTGAACCATACAAAAGAGGTGGAATTACAGACTTGTCCTTATTATTGATTCTTATAAAGATTCTACAGAAGCCACGAGAGCCTAATTTTTGTGATGAAATACGAGATTTCAAGACCTGAGGATTGCGGGCTTTATTGTTAGACAAAACCTTTTTACAATGGTTCCTAGCAGTAATAAACAAATGTCTGTTTTCTGGAGAATTGTTTTGCTGATAGATATGGAAGTAATGGTTTCGATTAAAAATTGCAGAAGCATAATGTGAGGAAAACCATGGAGAATAGTGAGGCTTGACCTGGAATCATCGAGATGGAATAAAAGATTCCATGCCAGCCTGAATCCACAAAGTTATGTAAGAAATACATTTGTCAACAGGAAGATGAAAGATTTCTACCCAAGGGCCATCATAAAGAAAATCAAGGAAAGAGTTCCAGTCAGCTTTAAGGTAGTTGTAAGATGTACAATGATAGGGGAATTCTAATGATAAAGAAGAATGAGATAGTAGTTTTAGAGAGATCAAAGTGTGATTAGAGGCACCTAAGGGTAAATGTGGAGAAACTGAGCACTAGCTAGGATCCAAAACAATACATAAGTCGAGTAGAGAAGGTAAATGATTCGGGTTGTCTAGAAAGCGAGTTGGAAAGTTGACTATTTGAGTTAGGGATTGAGGAAGGCAAAAGTTGATGATGATGATAAAGAGAGAGGGCTTGATCAATATGATCAGAAATAACATTAAGACGAGTGCAGTCTTGAGATAAAGGAAAGCGATATAGAACAAATAGAAAGGTGATAGAGTGAAGTGCTAAATGAAAGCACATAAAAGAGTAGTCTGTGGATTTCCCAACAAAAAGTGAATTCTTACAGGTATAAATGCCCAGGCCAAGCATGTGACTATTGGAGTCTTCACGAATTAAAGGAAGATAACCATCAACACTTAGATCACAAGATGAGACAGCTGAACTCAAATCAGTCTCGCAAAGAGTAAGTAGGTCTGGTCAACTTTGCAAGAGATAAGACTCAACAGAAGAAAAGTTACTTCGAAGACCACGAATATTAGTGAATGGTAGTTTTAGCTAATTTGGTGATGACATTGGTTTTTTGTGTTTTTTAGTTTTTGTTACTTTATTCATTTTTAAATTTGTTAAAGAACTTGACTCGAAACATAGGTAGTACTCAGTACACTGTTTAATAGCCCAAGCAATTGCCTCATTACTATTAATAAACCCTAAGCCGTAACAAAGGGCTCCAATTAGGTTTTGGTAATGCACACTAAAAGTACAAACAGGGACACCATCCATGAGAAACATGGCACTGTTAATACTTTGATATTTTTCAACTGTTGATGGAATCAGTCTCTCTGAGAGCTACCACAGAGTTCGGGAAACTTGACTACCATCCAACCTCAGAACCATAAAACTGAGTTTTAGAGCTGTACCCTCATGAGGAGATAATAGAATGAGTTGCCTAGTCATAAAAACAGAGGCACCAGCAAAACCCATGCATCGAGTCAAGAAGATCCAGCAATCAATATCCTAAATTGGAAACAATGTATTAAAAATACATCTGCGCCAGCCTAATAGATGAAGAAGGGGTGCGAGCCTAGTCAATAGATAGAATCTGTTTACCCCTTAAGTCTTTGCCTAAGAGGCCTTCTAAAAGACAGCAGCTGGACGCATTTAACATCTGCCCAAGATGAGTGTTTTTATCGAGACACTATCTCTAGCCTTTACTCAACCAAGAGCCCCAAGGCAGGGGGTGTTTTATGTCGGAGTTGGTATCTCCTAGCCTTTTTCTAAAAAGGTGTATCCTACAAGGCAGCAGGATAGGAAGCTGATTGTACTGGGTTACATGTTACCATTAGCAGGATAAACCTGACCTGACAAAAATAATTAAATATTATATATATAAATAGGTAATATTTAAATATTAATATTTAAATATTAACTACTAATTTTCTTGTTTGACAGTGTTTAAAATAGCGTATTATAATTTACAGCTTAAGTTATCATTAAAAGTTTAAGTTGCAGTTATAATTTTTTGAGCAAGGAACAAATTTAATACTATTAAATTATTACTTAGTAATTGTTTTTACTCAAAATGATATTTAAAAAATTAAAAGTTAAAAAAAGTAAGTATGCTTATAATAAAATATTTTAACCATTTTAATTAGTCATGTAAAACTCTTTTAATATGTTTATGCTGATGATAAAACATGTGTTACTTTTAAAGAGTATTTAATTGTTGTTGTAAAAAGCTATAAAACAACAGTAGAACAAACTGCAAAGTTGTTGTTTTAACAATATAAAGAGCTTGTGTTAATGTAAAACATTTTTGTGGCGCTTTTATATATAGTTTATAACCTTAATAACATAAAATGTGTTTAAAATAAAATAAAGTAAATAAATAGACTTGTTCTAATTATTAAATTAAAACATTATCGTCATAAAACTTCAAACTTCATATTTGCTTTTGGGTAAAAATGAGCACATGAAATTATTGAAGAAAATTATATCCTATTATATATAGCTGATGCTACTCTAAACATCGTGAAAAGGAAACTCATTAGAAATAACACTAGTGAAATGATTATCTTTGACATAGAAGAAAAACAAAAAATTATCTAATAGAGAAAAGAAATTTAAATTTATCAGTGAATCAGCAAGTAGCACATATTCATAATTATTTAGTATACATATACATATAGTAATACATATTCATAATAAAGTAGTACACATTTATAATCATATAGTATACATACACGTATAGTAATACATATTTATAATAGAGTAACACATATTCAAAATTATATAAGTGTCATTGTTCAATACAAATGTATAGTTGCAGTTTATAGAAATATTTCCGTTATTTCTATAAATTGCAACAATGATAAACCTACTCGTAATTATTTTGCATTAATCATATATTTGTGAATATTAGCACAAGTTATATATATATATATATATTTTTTTTGTTAAACTAGAAGCAATATTTGTTGCTTCTGGTTTAACAAAGGTCTGAAAAGTTTAGGAAAGTAAGGTCAAATTTAATTAATAGTAATAATATAAATTAAATGTTATGTAAAAATATAAAGAAAGTGATTAATTTTTATATACTTTCCACTTTCCGGATATTGGAAATTTTCGGATATTAGATTGAATTCAATCCGTTTCCACTTTCCGGAAAGTTTGACATTTTCATTTTTTTTTTTTTTGCTTTCAAACAAAAGTATAGTTAAAAAAATATTTTTTAATATAAATACATTTCATTTACTAAAACTTTCCATATCAGAGGAAACTACTTTCTGAAACTGGTTAGAAAGCAAAATCAAACAATATTAATGATTAAAAAAATAGACTTGACTATTCAAACTTTGGCCTTGCAAAATGCTGATTTTGGTACATTTTGTTAGCACTAGTAAATTGAACATATTGTAAAAATATTAAAATATTTAACTGCCCTAATTTTTTAAACAGAGATAATGATTATTTAAAAACATGTATACAAAGATAAACTAACTTTACAAATCTAAAAATTTTAGATTCAACTCCAGTTTTTGCAAGTTCAAGTTTACTTTTTTAACATTTTCGTGCTTGGTTTATGACAAAATCTTTTACAAAAAAAATCTTTTACTATTCAAAAAATAACTTGTTTTTTTTTTTTGAAATTATTATTTTATCTAATAAATCATTTTGTTTAAAAAAAATAAATTTAAAGTCCTGTTATTTTATATTGTTCAGGAATTATCCTTTTCCGGATATTTTTCTCAACTTTTAGTTTTTTCGGATATCCAAAAGGATTTCCATATATACAAGTTTAGATATATATTTTTGATATATATTTGTTTTTTAAGCTTTTTCACTTATCACTCATACAAAAATTACGAAAAATTGGAAAAAAAATTGGAAACAACTCAGCCAAAAAAAAAAATTATAAGGAAATAGAGGGAAAATATATTCCAGATTTTTTACAGATATTTAACCCAAACAATTTTCCGGATTTCTAAAATATGACTTGGATGATCTATGATTATTAAAATAATAGTAATGATATTTGAAGTTAATAAATCTTTAGTGAATGTATATATAAGTTAATACTATTTTATTTTAGAAAAAATAATATTTTAATATGGTGAAAAAAAAGTAAGTTCCATAATAATTATTTATTTTTTACTACAAACTTTAATGACAATGTTCTTGAATTGAAAATATTTTGATTCATATTTATTTTTCACTCTCTTTAAAGGGTAACAATTTTTTTTATTTTAAAATGGAATAATTTAAGTTCAATGAATATTTGTTTTTAATTTATTGACAACAAGTAAAAGTAGTTATTAAGTGGCTTAAAAACAAACAAAATTCTATTTTGATAATTTTTTTTTGTTGATAGAGGTAAGCTGAGAAGAGTAAATCCAGAACAGAAAAAAACTATAAAAGATCCTAATCCTGTAAGAAATGTTTTTTCTTTTTCTTTGAGCATTGTTAATTTTATTGTGTAGTATTTAAAGATGTTTGTAAAAAGAAATTAAGAAGAAAGGAAACTCTTGAAATTTATTTTCCCATTTTCTAAATTTTTTTTAGTTATTGATAACAATTAAAATAACATTTTACAGTGTGAGAAATGATGACTGGTCAACGGTCAATGACCGCCTGAAATGACTAAAATTGCTATTTTACATCCCAAATTAAATTCTTGTTGTTCATGGTTGACCGGTTAAATAAAATCAAAGATTTAAAAACAGGGTTTGACATATAATTATGTGAATAAAAAATTTGGAAAATGCATACACTCAAATTTCATAAAAATATTTAAGTTTTTAAAATGCCTTTAGAATAGTTTCATTGTTTACAATACGCTACTGTAATTCACTTCATTGACAAATAATAAATATGATGTAAACTATTAATTTTTTTGCTTTACTTTTTTAAATTACTTTTACTTTACTGGTGGTATAAATCCTTTTTTCATAAATGTTTGAAGTTCTTATTTTATTTTTATTTTAATCAAAATATTTAATACATTATTTTAATAATAATGAATAATACATTTTTTCAACTGTACATTGTTTTTCATTTTGTTTTAAATCTTTCTATTTATTTTTTTTATAAATCATTGTCGCAAATTATAATAAATGAATAAATTATTTATAAATTGTACATTTACACTCTTTTTTTCTATGATAGAATTCTTGAAAAAGATATTATGCCCTTTTTGCACTCGCTAGAGTGCATCACCACAGTAGGGCAAAAAATAAACTTCATGTTTATGAGCTGTCTGTATTTCCAAAATGTTATGCTATGAATACTGATAACTTGAGTAAAATATTTTCAAAAACAGATTGATTTAGAGGTCACCCGTGAGTCCAAACAGTGGACTTAAAACAGTCGATTTTGTGTATTGGGTTTTTTCTTTTTCATTTCTGTGGCATCATAGCTGAATTATTAATACAGATAGACTCAATCAACAAAAATATAGTGGTTTGACTTGTCATTATTCCTTGGCTGTTTTAAACATTATGTGTTTTAAAAACGGAGCATAAACAAGCGTTTTAATATGTACCAAAAAATAACCTTAGACTAATCTTGATCATTGCAACACTTTTAATATTAGACTAGACAAACTGCAGGAAAATTATAAAGATTACCAGGCCAGCAGGCCCAAAACTGAGAAAAGTTTGTCCTTATTCAAGATTGGTCATACATAATTACAAATTATAGATATAAATTGTATAGCTATGTACAAAACAATAAACAAGCATTTTCTTTGCTGTTAAAAAAAACACATAACATGTTTTTTTCTGCTTTTGAAGTCAAATTAAAATTTCAACACAAAAATTGAATGTTGTTGACGTTGAGTGTTCATTTTAGATTGCACTGTATGGTTTCAATAATGTGTACATTGTACAACAGAAATAAATGAAATTGTGTGGCTCAATTAGTTTGTGTTCTTGACACCACGTTTGTGCCGAAGGTTTAGAGCATCCTTGTAATCTTTTTCAACCACCTGAAGAACATTTCGAAAGTGTCCATCTGATCTAGCAGTATCAACCAAGTCTTAACACCTCTTTCAGCACACTCATTAACAGTGTTCATTGCTGCAACATTCTTTGCGCTGTTCAAGTATGCCGCAGAGCTTTCCCACTCACTAACGGAGAGTTTAAGAAAGATGGCGCCTATCTGCAGTCTATATATGGTAAACCAAGAGTCCTCTCCAATAAGTTCACACAGCCATGTTGAGCTGTTTATGGATGACGGGAAAGTAGGTTTACCCCATCCATTACCAAATAAATAGACTCAAGCTTGCAGGTCACACAATGATTGTGGTCCAAATTGTAGCAATGCATCAGCAATTGCTTGTCTCTCATTCAACAGTACATGTGTACTGAATAGAGCAAGTGGGACCATCTCAGCAATCAAATTCCAGAGATGACGATTTAGTGCTCGAATTGTAGAGTGTGAAATGAGCTTATCAACAGTCTCATAAGCTAGTAGACATTTATTCAGCTGAAGATCATTCCATGGTGAATCTACAGTTTTCTTGGATGTAAGCCATCATTGCATACACATGAGCTACAAATGTGGCGAAGACACACACTTTTTGCACTTAGTGACAACTAGTAATGGTGCCTGGTGGAAGCTTTCCAATCTGCATCTCACAAAGTGCAATCTTGAGGTTGTAGATCAGCTTCACCATCCAACTGAATTCCTTATAGTCATCTTGCAGGAACTCAACCTTTTCCGCAGCAATAGCAATGACCTCTTCCTTCATTATTGCCAGCAGCTCTTGTGCTTATAGGTTATGACCAGCTGGACAAAACCGGAATATGTGAGAGTAGTTATTTGGTATCAAATCACTACTTCTCAAGTTACTTCTCAGCTGTGTGAATAATGTAACATCTAGTAACTGACGCTTCTATCTTCATATCAGCAAACATATGTGATAGAAGAACCTCTCCAATGTGATGGCGACAACCTGACCAGAGAACTGCATGCTGCAATTTATCTTGAATGGCAATTCATGCTGTTGTTAGGTGACCCAAGTTAGAACTTGTTGTGTTGAATGTCATATTGATGATTCGATCATCACAATGCCACTCAGTCATCAGCTTCACAGTCAACTTGTAATAATTTCTCCACATGACTTGTATGAAGGTTTATAATAACTTGGCACTCCCAAGAGCTTTAACTAACTGTGAGGCGTCACTGACAACCACTGTCATGCGTTTTTGACTAATATATATATATATATATATATATATATATATATATATATATATATATATATATATATATATATATATATATATATATATATATATATATATATATATTGTGGTTTTCAAGAGTAGGTGGCAACTTTCCATCCCAGTGCAGAGTACATAGTTTCAGGCCTTCTAAGGAAATGCTTGTGGTCGCAAGATTGACCATGCATTTTTTTTTTGTTGTTAATAACTTAGCCACAATTTTTTTTTTATATATTCAAAATGGCGCATTTTAAAAAACGCGCTGAAAAAACAAAACTAGTTTGTCATGTTATTTTATTTTTCTTGTTAATAACTGATTTTTATAAATATTAATGAGAAAATAAAAACATAAATATAATATATATATATATATATATATATATATATATATATATATATATATATATATATATATATATATATATTTGTTACCTTTTCCTATGAGGCGCCTCATAGGAAAAGGTAACAAGTCTTAGAAATGGATTTACTGATACAGTTGCATAAAGTTAGGAATAAGCCACAAAATAAAACAAAAATTAGCTTAATAACATCATTATTGAAAATTCTATATAGTTTTTCAAGGAAGTTTTTTAAAAATGAAATTACAGTAAAAAATGACTTTGAAGATTTGACATACTTTAAAACTGTGTAACTTTCACATATTAATGAAGTTAATGTATATTTTGATTATTAATTTCAAAAACTAATTCTAAATAATGATAAAACTGCTCGAAAAAAGAATAAAGTTAGTTTCAAATTTTTCAACATATATTTCTTAAAATGCGTGTATCTCTGAATCTAGAAACAAGACATGGTACCTTTTCCTATGAGGTGCCTCATATATTTATATATTTAAAACTTTTTTTTTAAATTTTTTTGGTGCTTTTTTGTTAAGTTTTTGTTTACAAAATATAATACGTCATTAGGTAATAGTTATTTTGTCACGATTCTAACTGAAACTTTTTATATTAGGAGAATTTTTTTAAAAAAACTTTTTTTTGACGTATATCAATTAAAATTATTTATATATTTTTTTATTTGTTTATGTATTCTTATTTTGGTTGGCATATAAATATAAATAAATAGATAAAAATAAGAATTATATAAATATTTTTATTTAGACAAAATAATTTATTTGCCTTTCTCCTAATATAAAAATAAAATCAGTTAGAATCTTTTTTATTTTTGTTTTAGTAAAAAAAATCGTTTGTTTATTTTGTTTTAAAATGCTACAAAGTATTTACATTTAAATGTAAATATTTTGTAGCATTTTAAAAATTCAACCTTAATGAAAATGAGACAATACGTAAAAATGTAAAAAGCGTAAGTAAAAACTTCGACAAACCAATTTAAATGATTCAATTAAATATTGATAAAATTTTAATACTAAAATAATTGTTTAAAGTTGCTCTTGGTCTTGCGGAAAAAGCTGTTTTCAATTTGATAATATTCATGAATGTTTGAAAAAATCACTCTGGAAGTGTCCCACCAGTTTTTTAAAATTTTCTTTGTTAATTATTTTTAATGAGCGTGTTCATTACTTTTGCAATTCTCTTGTTACATAACTCTAACTAATAATATGAAGAAAAAAATTCTATGGTAATGTAAGTGATTTAACATAAGTAAAATATACAGTATCAAAAAACAAAGTTATTTTCATTAGCCGGTCAACTCTAATCAATTTTTTATATATTTTTTAAATTGGTATAGAATTCTCTTTACTGGTTCACAGAAATCAGACCTAAAATTTGAAGCAATTTTTTTAGCTTGTTTTTTGTGTAACGCTTGTGTAAGTAGCATTTTTAGTAATAAGTTTGCCCTCTTTCAGCCAGATTCAAATCTTTTTAGCTTATTTTATTCACAAGACTTACAGCTTTCATACAAAATAGCTAAACGTTTTATTTTAAGTTTAAATAGGCAAATATTTGATATGTGAGTTGTTATGTGTGTAACGTATATTAAAAATGGAATAGCCCATATATATATATATATATATATATATATATATATATATATATATATATATATATATATATATATATATATATATATATATATATATATATATATATATATATATATATATATATATATATATATATATATATATATATATATATATATATATATATATATATATATATATATATATATATATATATATGTGTATATATATATATATATATATATATATATATATATATATATATATATATATATTATTTTTATGTTTTTATTTTTTCATTAATAACTAAAATAAAAAAGTATTAATAAGAAAAATAAAACAATATAACAAGTTAGTTTTATTTTTCAACGCGTTTTTAAAATGCCTCATTTTTAATATATGTAAAAAAATCCTGCCAATGTTATCAACAACAAAAAATTTCATAGTCATTGAAGGCGTGCGATCGCACGCATCTCCTGAGAAAGCCTGTGGTTTTGATAGTTCCCAATATCCCAGTGGATATTTGTAGCTATTTTGCCTACTACCCTATGTCAAGCATATGAAGTAGCGATTATTGATAGATTGCCACCAGACTGGACAATAAGTGCTTGTGTGAATGCAGCCTGTTGGATTGGAGTCATCTTCAGTTTGGTAGCAAGTGCAACCAGATTAGGTCAGCTTAGCACATCTAGAGGTATGAAAAGCAGCTGTTCCATTTAGTTTCTTTTGCTGAATTCACATCTTCTGCTTTAATATCGCCATTATCTTCTGAAGAAGAAAAAGGCTCTGACTCTTCAGTGAAGTTAGTATTGCTCTCTTCATCAACCAAAAGTTCTGAAGATACTGTTGTGGTTGTTGCTTCAATGAACGCTTCAGACGATTCAATGCTGCAGCATCGCGACATTGAGGCCTGAATATTTTTTTAACTAGTGATTTGTAAAATGGGTCAAAGCTGGCAGTTCTGTCCCCTTTCATTGACTTTATCGGTCACAGTTGCCTCATGTTTACGAAGCATAGCCAGAGTTTCACGGCGACTTTTATCAATTGAGCGGAGTTTGTTGTTATCATTAAGGAGTTATCACTATTTTATCATATGCTCTTTGTGCTGTCACCATTGGAATATTGGCTTCATGGTAGAATTCTGCAACTTGCTGCAACACAATCTTTGCTGTTGTGAATCGAGCCTGTGTGCCAATAGATCTGGGTCACTCACCTTGTGATGCTGCATTGCAGTGGTACACCATACACCTCAAGACCTGCAAGCAGGTGGGCAGCCGAATACCAATGATAGATAAATCAGCTTTGCAAATAGCAGGCCCTAAACCAAACAACTTGGTAGGTTGGCAAGTCCGCGGTTTCTAAGAGGCCGAGAGAGTAGTTTCTTGACGAGTATATCTAAAGGTATTTGGTGAACCAGACTTCAGCGGCACTATTTGCTTGTCTTTGAAAGGTGTTGCAGTGGGACTTATTTCGCCTCAGCCTCCATGTTTTCATCCATATTTCACTATACAAAATTAAGCATTTATAATTTTACCACATCATATACTACTCTATGCTGTTAGTTTTTTTTAATGAGCGTCAAACTGAACAAATAAAATGTTATCTAAGTCTAACATGCAATTATGCAGTTGTCGCCAGTTGGGAAAAAGTCGAATACTGAGTTCATTTATGTAAGTAAGTAGGTTTAGGCAAAAATTACTTTGAAAACATATTTTATCTCTGAGCAAAAAAAATTAGAAGTGACCCAAATCTTGTATTGGCAGGCTTTTGACTTGAATTTTGATTAATCTAAACTTTTAGAAACTTGCAGACAACATTTTATCTAAAAATATCAACAAACATGGCCAACAAAGAATAACTATTATTTATTCACGTAAATAGAGCTGTAGTAAATAAATTTTAATAAACAAGTAATGGGTGGGAAATGAGTGTCCATGGTCTTTAATAAGGAAAGTTGTCTAAATATGATGCTATTTCATTTATTTTTGTACAATAAGTTTATTTCAACCTACAGAACAACATGAAATACCAGACAGCTGAGTATGAAAAAAAAAAATTTGGTGATGCACCCTAGCACTCGCCTATGCATGAATGCAAGTGGAAATAAAATGCTTGTCCAAAAAACAATTTTTTAAAATCATTATAGCATGTATTTTGTTCATTAAATACTTTGATAATTTGTGATAACATTTTTATCTACAAATTATTTCATATAAAGTTTTCACATTTTTATTTTTATTATTTTATTAAGAACTTAATTAAAATGTTTATTTTACCATTTTTATTTGTATTTTTTGTTAAGAATTTAAATAAAATGTTTGTTTTAGCATTTTTTAATTTATTTAATTTAGAATATATCTGTAGAGTTATTATTGCAGTTTGTTTTTTTAATTTTTAATAGCAAATAAAAATCAGTTTTTTAAAATCCTGCAGGCCAGTCTAATAATGACCATCCGGTCTGCGCTTTTTCATTCGCTGCCATTTCAAACAGAGAAGACTGCTATATGTTTGTGTGTCAAAGCATGTCATAATTAAATTTAAAAAATAGCATAATAGAACCCTGTCCAAACCATGGATGTTAAGCCTTTAAAAAAAAATTATCTTTATATTGGGTTGGCACATAGTTATCAAGCATTTTTTTAAATCTCTTATTCGTTCCTGTAGGGAACTATTGTTTTTTTAAATACTGTTGTCGTATTTATTTTGTTATTTCAATGATGCTTTTTCTTTTTTTTTCCATCAACTAAAACTCATTCTTGCTTGACTTTTTATTTGGCTAAGTTGCATCAATTCACTGTATCTGTTGCGTGTTTAAAAATCTTTTATTCATCTAGTTCTTTTTCCTCTCTCCCATTTTCATGTTTTCTTAACTCATGCAACCTATAACTTTTCAAATCTTTTGTCAACCATTCCCATGTTCTTTAACTTTTTTGTTTTCTAGTAACTACCAGTTTAATATTGCTTGCTTGCAGCCTTACTGGGAGTAAATTGTATATATATATATATATATATATATATATATATATATATATATATATATATATATATATATATATATATATATATATATATATCTATACTGTATGTATATAATTGTTTATGCATGTTTAGAATGATCAAGAATATATTTACAATGAAGTCGACGAGTTTCATCTTAGTAAAGATAAGGCAAGTTTTTAAATAATTATGTTATTGATGTTTTTACATATAAAAGTGCACAATTATACAATATCTTACTTGACAGAAACATTTAAACAGCATAACAAAGTTTATTTTAGATTATATATACAAAGTTAATTTTTTTATTTTTAATGTATTTAAGAATGTCGTAAAATAAGAGTGTGTTCCTCGTTATTTATCAAAAAAGTTGTTAAGTAAAGCAACACTTCTTGATAATTTTTAATTAGAATTTTTTTTAGGTTGTTTGCTTTAGTCTAGATTGTCTTTTTGTTGTGCTTCCCACTAATTTGAACTAAGGAGCCAAAAGTAATCACTCATTTCAGTAATAATAATTTGATATTAAATATCTCTCTATGTATTTTGAGATTTTTATAATAATTATTCCATAATAATTTAATGAATTTAATAATGAATAATCGAAAAAAATTGTTTCTAAAACCTTTTAAATTTTACACCATAAGAAATTGGTTAAGCAACCTAATGTTTTACATAAAACTAAACAGCAATACATGTAATAAAATTATTTTTAATAAATTTTTATCAAAATGTGAAAGATGTATTTTTATAAGAGTTTAGTTAAAAAATAAAGTTTTTCTAAAAACCTTTCTCTTTATTTTTAAAGATTATGTTGGATCCATCAAAATGTGAAAGATGTATTTTTATAAGAGTTTTCTCTTTATTTTTAAAGATTATGTTGGATCCATCAAAATGTGAAAGATGTATTTTTATAAGAGTTTTCTCTTTATTTTTAAAGATTATGTTGGATCCATCAAAATGTGAAAGATGTATTTTTCTAAAAACCTTTCTCTTTATTTTTAAAGATTATGTTGGATCCATCACAAGATTATGATGAATCAGATGAACAAGTATCTGTAAGTGCAAAAAAAAGCATTTTATATTTTTAACATTTAATTGTAATAATTTAGTTTTCCACTTTTTGTTATTTAGGATGAGGAAGTATTAGCTATAGGTAGTGAAGAAAGCGAAGAAGAAATAAATAATGCTGATGAGGTTGGACAATAAAAAGAATAAAAATAAATTAAAACCAATTTTGTCAATCAAAAAGTTGTAATATAAGAATCAGTAAATGATATTTAGCATCTAATAGAGCTGTGCCAAAGTATTTGTGCCAAGGTATTATCATAAACACATATACACAGTAGCAGCAATAATTTTTGCTCATTGAAATATTTTTTAGAGAAGCCAAAAAATTTAACATTTAATATTTAAAGAATCGTCATTGCTTTACAAATTAGATATTGATACACATTTATCTGTTTAAAAAGATATGAACCAATAGATTTTTGAATCTTCCTGGGCTAATATTTACCCATAAACAGAACGATTTTTGTTTTGAATATATATATTCAAAACAATGGGGGTGTAAAAAATAGCCACACTAATATTTTGTCTTGATTTTGAGTATAAAATGTAGCAATCAAGCAAAACAAAACAAAAATTGAATGTCGCAGTGAAAAATTTAGTACAAAAAAGATATGTTTATATAAACTAATATTTATATAAAATCTTTAAATAAACCTCATAAGTTTTTGTCATTTAAGTAACTAATTCCCCTTAGACATTATTAATGATTGGTATAATTTCTGCTAGAATTCTTGTGTGAAAAAATTCATTTTATAGTTTTTAATATATATATATACATATATATAATATATATATATATATATATATATATATATATATATATATATATATATATATATATATGTATATATATATATATATATATATATATATATATATATATATAAGAACAAAGCAATTATAAAGTAATACTGCCAACCGGGGCTACTTTACTCCATTGGGAGTTACTTAGCACCACTTTTGAAAGTTTTGGTAGTTATCCAGCTCTAATAGAAAATTAATTTTTTTAAACTATTTGGTTTTTTCTTGTTTGTTGGGCCATTATCTTCAACTTTCAGAATAAATTTTGAATGATACTGCTATTTTATGTGTTATTTTTTTAATGTTTGTGGAAGCCATTTTTTATACAGAATTTTTTCTCCTTTAAAAGTGGCTTGTTTCTTTAAAAGAACTATATAAATTTTTAATAAATTTTTTTAAAGAAAAAAAACCATCTGTAGTTTAAATCATGTAAAAAAAATTTAAATTATTTCATTATTTATGAAGGTGTTATTTAAAAGTAGTTTTAGAGTCAAACTTGGACATAAAAAGGGGCTACTTTGCTCCAGTTAAGAAAATGATGAAAAGTAACCTCAGGTTTTTTTTACATTAAATGGTTGAAAATGTTGCTAACAGATGCATATTACTTTTTAGGATGGTAATGCATTATAAAAGAAAGTTAGAAGTTTGTTGTTTAAAAAAAATTATTCAAATGAAACTCTACAAATAAGCTTGGATTTAATAAAAAAAGGAACACTCAGTCAACATGTAGCTTCAAATCTGTTTAACATACCAAGAAAAACAATAATTAAAAACTAAATAGCCTTTGAAAAAAAAAGGACTTTTTTACGCATGGAATAGGATAGTTAGAGGAATAAGTCCCCTAAAATTTTAAGCAAAAGAGGGGTATTATCAGTGCCAGAGTTGTTTGATGGTGAGAAATATCAGTAAATGTTAACATACAGTATTGAAGTTTGTTTATTTATAAGGTTAATGTTTGTTTATTTAAAAGAAAGTGTTTTATTTATTTAAAGTAGTGTTTTGTGAAATTCCTGAACTAAATCTTATACTTAAATCAACTTTCTGGGTAAGATTTATGTTTTTAGTTTTAAAAACATTTTTAAGCTACATAAAGTGTTGTACTTATTTAAAATAGTGTTTTGTGGAATTCTCTATACTGAAATAACCTTTTTGGGCAAGATTTTTTTTTTTTGTTTTTAACATTGAAAACACATTTACATTATGTGGTGCAAAGTAACCTTTTCTTTGGGGCTACTTTGTTCCAAATTTAAAACATCAATCAAAACATATTGAATTAAATTTTTTTTTTTATATATACCGGTTTTGATAACATATTAGAACTTTAAAAAATCAATTTAATTTGTTAAGCAAATTTTTTATCATTCCTAAATTTAACTGCAGTAAAATAACCATTTAACATTAAGAATAATCTTAATGTTAAATGGTTATTTAACATTAAGATTATTCTTAATATAAGAAAATCACTTGACAAAAATTTTCATAAAATACTGTGTTACTACTTTATAAATACTTTATTGATACAACTTTATAATTACATTGTTCTTTTAAGAACATTGAGCACTCTATTTTGTAGAATACATTTTAAAATTGTTTATATATATATATATATATATATATATATATATATATATATATATATATATATATATATATATTAAATTATATATATATATATAAGTAAATCCCATAATTTTTTTTCGACAACCACTTTTTATGAGGAGAGGTAAAAAATGAGTGGTATAAAAGTCATATAAAATATTTTTCAGATTCAGATTCATATTCAGATTGTTCGAAGTTTTGCTTTTTATGATTTTTGACTAAATTTAGAGCAATTTCCAAGCGCAAATAGATTCTCATGTCAAATCCAGTTAACTTGTTCAACAATGTTTTCTTTATGTGTTCTTGTACCAAAAAAAACACTGCTTATTATTTTAAAAATATTGTGCCTATCTTACAATAATTACGATAGCTAAATTAACACTTTGGCTACTGCAAAGTGATTTTTGTTGATCTTTAGGCTTTTTTTTCCATTCATACAACAAACTTTTTTTTTTTTTGCCTTATTTTTTTATCAAATGATGTTGTTTTTTTTCAAAATACTTTTACTGGAGCCTTGGATCAAACAAATCCAAATCCAAAATGGTTTCCTTGAAAGATTGGGTAAAGAACTTTGGATCTTTTGTTGTAAACAAAACTATATCAAAACGTATCAATGTGATTCAAAAATATATACATTTTTTCTGTGGTTATTTTAGGTGCTCCAAGAATACCTAATGGTCGCATCACAGAGCACTGCAGAAAAGCATTCAACTTGGAAATTTACGCTTCCTTCATGTCGAAATTGAGCATAGGATAGGGATCCAATATACTTATGTCAAATAATGATGCAAAATATTGCAATGAATGGAGGCTGGAAACTAAAAAAGCCCTAAAATTTCATCCCCCCTGCCCCAAATGTGAGAACAACAAGTTGGTAAAATAATATTTTTGAACTTCTCAACTTGGTTTATATTAATTGATGAATTTTAAGTTTCATAGTAATATCTCTCAGAGTTCATAAATAATAACCATATAAAGTTTAACCCCCCTCAATTTGAGGGGGTTACAAATTTTATATAGTCATAATTTTTGAATACTTAGAGATTGTAAAACTATACTTATAATATATCGATAGGTATAGTTAAATATAGATAAATATAGTTAAGAATAGCAAAAAAATTATTTCATCAACTTATTGCTTTCACGTTTGGGGCGGGGGGGGGGGGTAAAATTTTAGGGCTTTTTTTGTTCCCGCTTCCAATCATTGCAACTTTTTAAAAAGCATCATTATTTGACATAACTTTAAACATACAAATGTTTGGATTTTGCTCCATGTTAGCTATCTCAAACACAAAAAAATGCTGGATACGTCACTGTTACAGATATCTTGTTTCTGAAGCAAATATGCTTCAGAATTCAGCGTTTAAACGCTGCAAATGTGCAATAAATATTTATATATATATAAATTTTCAGCTTAAGACAAATATCTCAAGAAAATATGTAAAAAAATAATTTTTTAATGTGCTTTTAAGGTTCAGAGTTTGCAGTTAGATATTGGATCAAATTTCAGTTTATTAGATTTTCAATAACAAGAAAGCAGTTGCCGTAGCTAGCTCCTTGAATCCACTCTTCTTCTGTTTTTAATGGTTTTTTACGAAAGTCTTTATTTGAAGTAACTTTTGAAGCTTCTCCAAGGTCATCACACTCTTTACATTATTTTGAATAAATTTTACTGTAAACACAGCTAAATTGAATTTTTTATTGCAAAATATTTTTCTTAAAACGAATTACTTGTCTTGTTTTAATAAATGAATAGCCTTCCCTGCAATTTATTTTTAAAAACAGGAAATATATTTCTTGTTTTGAGAAATAAGTTTCACTTCTGCATCAGGCAATCTACTAATCTACTGTTGGTAGATTAGTAGATTGCCTGAAACACACAAATTACGAATTTGTGCGTTTTTTAAAATACCACTAGTTATAAAAAATAATAGTAATAAAAATGCACACAATCGGTATAGATAAAAAACTTTCCATTCCTTGTAATGATGTTGTTATATAGTGAATGATTTGTAAATTTCTATTCACACTGATTGTTTGAAAATGCCAGTAGAAACTCAAAAAAAGTAAAAATGATAAACTTTAAAAGAGTGGCGTGAGTTTAAGTAGAATAACTAATGTTATAACTTATAACTTAAACTTATAAACTCATAACTAAAATAAAAAATTAAAAGATTTCATTAAAAAAACAATACCTTGGAAATATTTTACGATACTCAGCTTATTAAAAGCCCTAATTCCTAGGGTTGTATATATATATATATATATATATATATATATATATATATATATATATATATATATATATATATATATATATATATATATATATATATATATATATATATATATATATATATATATATAAAGGAGTGGTTCCGAGTTCAATCCCCACCACGTCCCTGGTAGTACCGCTCTCAACTTGTTTCTCCGCGCAGCGGCCTTGTTTGTCAAGGTTCATGTTTCGGATTTATAGAGTTGAGAGAGGGTTATAACCACAAATAAGTAGCCTCCTCGTCTCTAGTGGCCTTCTCGGCCTTGAGAAGGTGAATTAAATTTAAAAAAAATAATAAATATATATATATTTATATATATATTTTTTTTTTTTATTTCTGATGAGTCTTTGTTGATGAAACACAGTGTAAAATGAAAAAATTTTTTTGTTAAGTGACTTTCTACTAGTTTATAATTGCTCTGTTCTTTTTAGAACATTGAGCACTCTATTTTATAGAATACATTAGACAAAATTGTCTAAATATATATATATATATATATATATATATATATATATATCTTGTAAAAAGTATGACATCATCATGCTCACCTAACTCAGCAGTATAAGATATATATATATATATATATATATATATATATATATATATATATATATATATATATATATATATATATATATATATATTCCTGTATCAGTAGTATAAAATATATCATATGAAGAAAAAATTTGGCTCAGCTCTAATATCTAATAATTATGTTATTTATTATAGTATAAAAATAAATTAACTGTTTATAAAATATTTTAAAATAATTAATATTAATGAAAAAGGTCATAAAATTCTTTTAACTACTTCAATGATGACACCAGGGAGACATTGTTGAAGTATTTAAAAGTATTTTATGATTTTTTCATTTATTTATTTTTGTTTTAGACTTTAAATGATAAAAAGGATGATGATAGTGAGGGTTACAGTGACGCTGACAATGATGACATCAGTGACAATGGTGATGATGATGATGACAATGAAGATGATGATAATGAAGACTCTGAAAGTGAAGATGGTAAGTATTGTTGCTAAAAATTTTGATTTATTTTATTGATTATATTTAAGAATATAAAAATTTAGGTTTAAATACCTTTTTTATTTTTTTTCCAAGTTTTAAAATTTGTTCATTTTTTTATATATTTTGACAATGATAAACTGGTAATTTTTAAAATCTTAAAACCATTCTTCTTTGAAATTTGAAATTTAAGCTTCAGTCAGTTGATTGTTTAAACTCAAACATTTTCTCAGTTAATATTAAAAATCTGTTATTTTTCTCAGTTAATATTAAAGCTCATTTTATTTCTATTAATTTCTCAAGAAAAAATATTGTGTGTTGTGTTTCTGAATTTGACACATTTTTAAAAACTTTTTTTACCAGATAAATTTTGAAACTAATTTTTTCAAAAATCTTTAGAAGTTAACTTTTATCTATATTTTTTTATCTAAATTATCTGTTATCTTGTAGTTTATTGATTTATTTATATTTTTTATAGGTATCCCAAGCTCAAAAGCATGGGGGAAAAGCAAAAAGGCATATTATGACACAGACATTCATGAAGAAGATTTATGTATAAATTAAATTAAAACTAAGTTGAATCAAAATGTTGAAAGAGGTTCAATCACAAAATTAGGCAAACTGATTAAAGCAGATTTTTTTGTCTTGAGTTGCTCACCAGATAGAGTGGGGCATGCCAAATGCACAAGATTAATCTAATGCCATTGAAATGACAAAACAGGCTAAACAAGTTTTTATATAAAGTTCTATATTTACTAATTGCGCAGTTTTTGAAACTCAAAAACTATGTTCTTGTGACTGTGCCTCTTTTAGTATTAATCGCTTTTTAATTGATATTCTGATTTTTATTTAAAAGTAAAGTTCCCATTAATACATTTGCTTTGAGTTTGTCTGTTGAAATTCAGTAAGTGATGAAGAAGCTCAGGAGGCTGCTGCAGAAGAAGAAAAAGAGGCTTTATTACTCCAAAAACAAATGGCTGAAAGACTTGGTAGCGAAGACTTCTATAAATGTGATGCTGAGGTTTGTTTATACACCTCATTAGTTTACTGAAATAGTATCTGCTATTTTTATTTATTACCATCTATTATTCATCTGTTTTAATATTCATTTTATTTTTTCCATTTTTGTTTTAATTTATTTTTATTGATTTTTAATATTAATATTTATAGTTTTCATTTATTTAGAATATTGAAAATGATCAAAGTTCAGAAGTAAGAATTGAGATTGTTGTTAAAAGTTATTAGCTAAATGTTATTTATACAGCTAAATGTACATATCAAGTCTTCGAGGTCAGATAATGCGTGCATTTCTGTGGTTGCATGCCTTATATGGTCTTGCAAACAATTTTTTTGCATATATTGGTAATTTACATGTTTTAAAAAATGCATTGAAAGAACCAAACTATTTTAAAGAGAAAATTAAAAATAAGCAAACCATAAACTGAAAAAGGAAAACTTAAGGAATGATAAAATAAATAAAGGATAAACCAGAGAAAATAAAAGCATAAAAATAATATTTTTTAAATTTAGAAGTGTCTCAATAGTTCTTGAACTTAATTTATAAGCGTTTTAATTAATAGTTTAAAGCTAATAAATTTTCTTATATCGTCGCATTGATGTAGCACATTATTGATTAATTGTGTCATTTATGATGTGCGACTGATATATCTGCATTAGTCAAGGGTTCAAATTCTACTAATAAATAGTTTGTTTGTTTGTTGTTTTTTTTTATGTTTTATTTGCTTTAGACTAAAAATATCAAAATTTCAAATTTTTTAAATATTAAGTTTCAAAGTAATTAAGCTTGGTTTAAATAACTTTGAAACTTCAATTTTTTTGTAAATTTGCAGTGAAACATTTTTAAATTGCCCTTTAACAGTCCTGTGTATTTTTTTAAATACGGTCGCAATAAGTCCAGTTTTTTTTTTCGAAGTGGTCTCTAAATGTCCCGTGTTTTTAAAATCAACGTGTTTGTTTACAAATAAAATTAAAAAAATTTTTTTCAATGTTTTTAACATTTTTAAACACTACAAAACGTCATTATTCAAGTTTAAGAATATATAAATCATACGACATAAACAAAAGATTATAAAAATGTATTCACTAATATTCTTTTTTTTATGAGAATTGGAAAAGCATGGAGCTGTACAAAATCTTACATTACATTCTAAACATTCATAATCTTTTTGATTTATGTGTTTGTAACATACTATACACCTTCTTTGAGCATTATTTTATATTATCATTTTCAATAATCATTCATCAAATGTATCTTTCCATTGATTCATAAAATGTATAATTTTCTATTTTTTAGAGGGTAAGTATTTACATTTTGATAATTATTTTTGCACTGAAAGAACTTCCTTATTTGTCATATTTAAAATTAAAGTAAACACATGTAAAAGTGAATTATTGAAACAAAAGCTTTTTAATTATGTAGTAATAAATTTTGTGACAAGTAGGCGTATAGTTACTAATAAACAAAAAGTAAATATAAGGAGATGCATAAAACCGTAATATTAAGGCATGGACATTTGGGAACCACTTTTTGTTTGCGTAATATTACGGCATGGACATTTAGAAACCACTTTTTATTTGCGTAATATTATGGCATGGACTGTTAACGGGTTAAAGTAAAAACATATTAACTTAATGTTTTTAATTTTTCTAGTTTATTTTTTATTCATTTTATCATTTGTTAAGATTTTTATTTTTTAATTTAGTTTTTCTTTTTTCTATTTTTTTTTTTTTCTCTTTTTCCAGTTTACATTTGTTTATTCAGATCATTTTTTTTAATGCGCTAACTTAAGGCATGCAAGGAGCTGTTGCAAAATTGATTTTTAAAAAACTTGTCATCTTACTTGAAAGTTTTATTTTGCAATATTAAATGCATGGTCATACAAGGCATTTGACTGCACACATCTCCTGAGAAGGCTTGACATATAGGTAATTCCATTTATTTATAGGTGACAGAATCTAATGTGATTACAGATTATTCAAAACTTTCCAAACGTGAAAAGCTAGAGGTAGTTTTTTATGTAATTCAATATAAAAATATAAAAAAAAATTTTCTGTGTCTTAAATCTTAATTCTGTGTTTTACATTGAGACTGCATTTTTTAAGAGACTTATTTCTTGATTAGATTTTATCTAAACAATCTCCTGAGTTACTTCCTTTAATAGAAGAATACAAAGATATGGTAAAAACTTGTTATTTTCCAATATTGTTGCAGAAAATGTTTTAATTTTTTTTCTGGTTTTTATTAATTTATAATAAAAAGTTGTAAAAAATAAAATTTAATACTTTATTTATTATTTGGTACAACTCTTGTAAAATAATTTATTATTGATAGAGGTTAATAAAAATTACTTAATAGCTAAGTAAAAAACTAAAAAAAATTCATTAATGATAAACAATAATCTTATCACAATACTTGCATAAACTGCATTCAAATCACTTATCCATTAACCTTATCACAATATTTGCATAAACATTCAAATCACTTTTTTTAGCATGTTTATTTTGCAATGACAAACTTAAGAAACAAAAAACAGAAGAATATGCTCGTTTTTATCATTACAGTTTAATTATTTTTTTGGTTTGGCTGTTGTTGTTTTTTAATATTAGGGTTTGTGAAAAATTACTGCCACATCCACCCCAAATGCACTTTTTATAATTAGTGTATGTTCAGGTGGCTCATAAAAGCAATTTTTTTTGAAAATATTTTTCTCTTACCCCCTAATTGTGTTTAAAATGTTCCTAAATCTAGTGTTAAATAATAACACTGGGTTTGAAAAAGTTTTGAATAAAAAATATTTTTAGAGGTTTTTCAAAACCTTTTAAATGCTTAAAAGATCCCTAATACATTCAGCAAAAAAAAAAAAATTTAAAGTATGTCAATTTTATCAGTTTAAAAATAATTATTTCATAAAAGCAATTATTTTTTTATATAAAAAAATAAAAGGTTTTTTTTTAACTAAAAATGAAAATAATGCAAGTTTTATGATAATTAATTTTTTTAAACATTATTTTGTAAAACTCTTGCTTATGAAATTTTGATCTAATTTGCTTCTTTTAAAACCCAGATTTTTTTTTTTATATAAATTCACCTCCCTAAGGCTGAGAAGCCACTACAGACAAGGAAGCTACTTAATTGTGGTTACAACCCTTCTCAACTTAATAACTCCAAAACACAAACTTTGACAAACAAGGCTGCTGCACAGAGAAACAAGTTGAGTGCTGTATTACCAGAAATGTGAGAGAGGTGAGGATCAAACTCGGAACCTCTTGCTTATGAAGCAAGCACTCTACCACTACACCACTACCCCTAGTAGTTTTGAAGACTAATGAAATAAATAAAAATAGATAAAATAATGAAAATACAAAATAAAATTAATTTTTGCTTGGATAAATAGTAGAAGGTAGAAATAAAAAATATTGTTTTATTAATCTAATGGAGTAAAAAAATCTTATTTTATATAATAGAAATCTTTATATAATCTAATAAAACTTAAAGCATGAAACAATTATACTTTATATAGATTATATAAATTTTCTTACTAAATCCTTTTAAATTGATATTATAAAAAAATATTTATAATATCCAATTAAAATAAATGTAATTTACATTTTTATAGCTCTACATTTTTATTATCATTATCATCAACAAGAGTTAATTGTTTAAATTTTAAAATAAAATTAAAAACTGCAAATTTTATAACAACTACAATGGTGACTATGACAATTAATTATTTATTTATATTAATTATAATTAATTGTAGACAAACAACTACAATGGTGACTTCTTGGTGACTCAGAAATCAAATTCTAAACAAAAAAACAAGTTTTTAACTAAAAAGTTGTATTATTGCATAACATAAAAAGTTACATTACTGCATTACATAAAATCATAAAGATAAAAACAAATCTTCTGTGGCTTTGTTTGTTTATTTACTCATTCATTCACTCACTCTTTCAATATTAACAAAAATCAACAATAATATTCCAAAACAGAAAGTAAAAAGGCAAAAATCAGAACAATAAACATGAACATGATAAAAATTATATAAAAATATAAAAATTATATAAAAAAAGTTATATAACAAAAAATAAGTGATAATAAATAAATAAGCGACATAGCTTATTTATTTTATCACTAGTTAACATTAGTTACTAAAAAAGTTTAAAAATTTAGGATTTTTAAAAAGTTTGTCATATTACTTAAAAGTTTTATTTTGTAGTATTCAAAATTAGGTTAGATGTTTTTAAACAAACTTATTTTGTCTCTAGTTAAATGAACTAAAATCAAAATATCACCCATTGTTGTTGATGTCACAAAAAGGTTGTATTGATTCAAAACAAGTAAATTTTTTTTTTTTTTTTTTTTTTACACCTGATTGGAAATTAAAAGCTCAGTTATTATTATTATTTTTGTTGTTGTTTTATTTAGGTGAGGCTCTTTGTAGAGATGAAGCACCATATATTAACAAAGTAATTATTTTTTGTGTTGAGTTTTTCTATATGTAAATTCATAGAAATAAATTCATTATCTTGATAAATAATTTCAAATTTCTAACAAAATCATCTAACATGATGGGAAAAAAGTTGCAGACATTAGTCAATAATAATGATGGCAATTAGCATTAGTGAAAAAAGATATAATGGTTATAAATTAGTTATTGGGTTTTGTTTTTAGTTATTGTGTCAATATTGCTTTCTACATGGCATTAAAATCAAGTAAAACATTTTTGAAAGGGCATCCTGTTTTTAATGCTTTAGTTCAGCATAAAGAGGTTTTGGGCTTATTTTTTTGCTTTTTCTTAGAAATATATTTGTAAATATTTTTTTCTATAGTTCTATTAAATTATTTTTCAATAGCTTCTTTCAAAATTATATCCAGTTGAGAAGGATCTTGCTTCCCAAATAGCAACTCTTATTTCACAATACCACACTGGAGAATGGGAGAGTATTTCAACAGGTTTTTTTATTTTTTGGTATTTTTATTAACATTATTTTATAAGTGGTACTTAGAGTTTTTTTAGTTTTCCTGTTAAAAAATGTTTAGAACTAATTTTTTGTTTGTTTCCAGTAGTTGAGGAAGTTGATGACAATCCTCAGGAGGTATGTCAATTTTTATAAATATAAATGTTTTCAATGACTGAATGTCACTCTGTAACAATATGTGAGTAGATTATGTTCTTGACTTTATGGGTTAGATCTTTGCAGTCAATTAAATAAAAACCACATATTGCTTATATGCGTTTATTAATCTCATCAAAAATATTTTTTATTTTATTTTATGACACAGTTATAATCACATAGTTTTATATAGCAGTATAGTTTTATTATATTGAAACCATTGTTTCAATCCCAGTCTCATTTTTTTTTCTAATGCAAAGAATACTAATTTAGATCATTTTAATTTTTGTCTGTTGTTATGAACTTTATAGTTAATACTGTTTGTCTGTGACATTTTTAAATTCATCCTCAGTAATTTTTGAGTTAAATTACTTTTTTTTCGGTTTTCGTCATTTATATGTCCATTGATAGAGTGCTTCTTTTTATTTTATTAAGAAGTTTTTATGACATGATTACTTTAAAGAAATGTTGTTTAAACAATTCAAATCATTTTTGTTATATATACATGCCAAATATATTTTAGAAAAGTAGAAAAATTCATAAATTTAGTGTGAAATGTTGTTTCAAGTAAAATTTTAACTATTGCAGAAATAATTAACAGAAATAACGTAATAATTTTAACAATTTAGAACACATCTTGCATTTTGTATAATAACTATGTATTTTTATTTAACGTTTAATAAATTGCAAACTTAAATAAAATACTAAATCAAAATCAAAATGTCTCTTAAAGAAATAAGACAAATGGTTTGCATCTTCTGCATGATAAAATGCTCCATAACAATGGATCCATAACAATGGATGTTTATAGTATCCATAACAATGGATGTTTATCGCATGATGAAATGCACCATAAACAACCTCAACCTATCAGACAAACAGATATATCTTCTAAATGAATATTAATATTTTTGGTGTTAGAGTATAAAGAAAAAAGTTCTTAAAAATCCGAGGACAAGGGCCCTTCTGTTGTCTTCTAAATAGTTTTTTTGTATCAATAAAATAAGGGTTTATATTATTGATACTGTGTGTTGGGGAAAAGCAGTTTTTTGTTATACTATCATTTCAGCTAAAAAGAGAAAATTTTTTGATTGATTTTTTTTTCTCTGCTGTAATAGTCTAATTTGATTTTTTGCCTGTTTTTGAGGCAGGGAATATAGTACTTTTATACCATATAAGTGACATTCTTGGTACATGCTTTTAGAGTTTTGATTGATTTTTAGTAACTGTAATGCTAAAAATCAAACTAAATATCCAAGAATGATTTTTTTTCAGCGTCCAGTGACTGTATATCCGTCTGACAGTGACTGTATATCCGTCTGACAGTGACTGTATATCCGTCCGGGAGTGACTGTATATCCGTCTGACAGTGACAGTATATCCGTCCTGATATATAGAGCTAATAAAGAAAAAACAAATGTCATTTTCTAATTTAAAACTTAAAAACAGCTCTTATATTTTTTGCAAAATTGTGTTGACCAATTAAATTTTTTTATTCTTGTTTAGCTAAAAAAGAAAAAAAAAGAAAAGAAATCAAAAAGACCATCCAAGGTACTTATATCTGATTTTTTTTTTTTTTATTTTATGTTATAACTGTTTTGTTTATAGATGAGGCTTTTTTAGATGAAACAATCAAATGCTTCCTTGGATAACATAGATCCATTGGAATATTACAATATGGTAAAAGAGCAAGCTGAAAATGAGAAACGTTTAAAACTTTCGAAAAATCAGTAAAAAAAAAATTTTTAATTCTTTATAACAAAAAAATTATTTGTTACAACAAAAAAAATTTTTACAAATTTTAATAATTTGTTTTTTTGTTTTTATTTATTTATTTTTCATTTAGAAATAATGAACCGTCTGACGAAGAAGATGAACTTGATGAGGAAGGTAAAAGAAAAATTACATATGAGGTAAATATTTGTTTTCTCATTTCAAGTTTCAAATGTGTTTAAATTGTCTTTGTTTTTTAAATATATTCTAAATGTACAAAATGCTTATTGGATAAAAAATAATAAACATAGTAATAATTATCATTATATTCCTATTCTACCCTGTAACGGGGGGAAAAAAAAAATTAATTGTGTTCACCTACACAAAGCTGTGGGAGAAACTGAGGAGATTTTTAAATTGTTGTTACTTCTGTCAGCCATTTTAACTCCTTTAACTCCTTGAAATTATATTTCAAAAAAGTTTTGAAAAAAAACATTTCAATTATTTTGTTTCTTATTTTAACATTTTATTTTTTACAGTAATTATATTCACCTTTCAAGACAGAAGCAGACACAGTCGATGAGGCTACACTTTTTTTGAAAAAAATTATAGTTTGGTAATAAATAATAAATTTCCAATTTAATGTTTATAATAATTTCTTTAGATGTCTAAAAACAAAGGTTTAATTAGAAAACGACGCAAAGAGTTAAAAAACCCCAGGGTTAAACATAGGATGAAATTCAAAAAAGCTGTCATCAAACATAAAGGACAGGTATATTTTATTTACTGTTTTGAAGTAACTAAAGTATTGACTACATAAATGTGGACGCAGCTTATTAATTTGGTTTTTAAGTATAACAAAAAATTAATAAACTATAATTAAACTTTTAATAATTTTTGATTAATATAGTTAATAACTTTAATTGCAATACATATATGTGTATTAAAAATACATATATGTGTATTAAAAATACATATTTGTGTATTAAAAATACATATATGTGTGTTAAAAATACATATATGTGTATTAAAATATATATTGGACATATTTATGAAACATATACGTGAAACATACCAGACATACATATAAAACCTATTGGACATATTGACACATCCGAACCTAGAGTTTTCAAGTTTGACAATGGGTCAATTTATAAGCTAAAATGTTACAATAATACATATGTGCGCATTTTGAATGTAAGATAAATACTTAAATGTATATGTGGTTTTGACAGTAGGATACTTAGATGTGTATGTGGTTTTGACTGTAGGATACTTAGATGTGGTTTATAAATTTTTTACTAATAGTTAAAGTAGTTATAAGTTACTTTTTGTAATAGGTTCGTGAAGTTAAAAAAGAAATCAACCGATATGGAGGTGAAATAACCGGTATTAAGTCCTCTTTAGCAAGAAGCACGAAAATACGATAAATGATTTAAAGATCCACTACGAATATTATAAGTTTAAAGTACTAAATTTTAATTTTATTATGTAACACATTTTTTGTCGTTAGATTCAAGTTATTATATTTCAATTGTGTCTAAAGATTAGAAAAACGTCTATAGTAAGCTCAATTTTTGATTTTTACAACACAAAGAATATTCTTTTTTCTTTGAAAAAATTTTCTATATTTTTTATCATTCGGTCTGTTAAGAAACAACAATTGCATGAAGAAATAGACTAAGACAGTAAAAAAATCACTCAAGTTTCAGAAATTAAGTATTTTCTAGATTTGTATGTGTAGTGTAAATTACTTTCACAGAGTAGGTTTCCCCCCCCCCCCCTCTACCTCCTACCTCTTTTTTTTCTTCTTGACGTCACCAACAAGGCTGCAAGCAACCACTATTAGAGTTGGAAGTTGCTGGAAGAGGAAAGATGAAGTTTATAGAGCAAAATAACGAATAACAGACGACTTGAAAGATTGCAAATTACATGAATCAGGAAAACAAGATGAAGAATTCTAAAGAACTGATGTTCGAGGAAAAAAACTAGAGGAATAAGAGTTTTTTGAGCAATTAGGAACAATCGCAGTAAAAGGATGATGCTTAATTGAATGATGAGTAACACGAGAATGAATTTTAGTAGATGGCACAAGAGACGCTAGCTCTTTAGAGCAGTGCCCATTATAGTATTTGTAAAAAAGAGAAAGAGAAGCAACATTACGACGATGTGATAATGGTTGTAGGTTGGCTCCAAGAGCAGGTCCAACTATGTTGACAATGCGTTTTTGCACCTTGTCTAAAAGAGAAAGGGCATTTTTGGAAGATCTGCCCCAGTTGTAGCAACAGTATTTCATAAAAAAACAAATTTGAGATTTATAAAGAATAGAATCCGGAGCAAGAAAATGGCGAGCACGATAAAGAGATGCAACCTTAGCAGATGCTAATTTTGCAATTGATTTGATATATAGTTTACAAGAAAGATCGAAAATAAGATTTAATCCTAGAAAATGAAAGGTAGATGACGTATATTACCGTTCATAAATAGAGATCTAAATTTTTGCGATAACAATTGGCTGAAAAAATTAGGTTTTATCTGTATTAAAGTTCACCAGCCATTGAGAGCCCCTTGAAAAGGATCTCACTTCTGTTGTAGCAGAATTGAGATCCTTTTCAAGCTCAAATTCCCTCTACAACCAATTAAAAAGTGTTGGTATCTTATCAAGACAAGAATAAATTATAGTATCATCAGTGAATAAATGATAGTATCATCAGTGAATAAATGATAAATATATCAATAATAAATGATAAATATATCAATCATCAATAATAAACGATAAATATATCAATCATCAGCGAATAAATGATAGTATCATCAATGACAAATATATTCAGTCATCAATAATAAATGATAAATATATCAATCATCAAGAATAAATGATAAGTATATCAATCATCAAGAATAAATGAAAGTATCATCAGCGAACAATGCCACCTTAGATGGGAGAGTTTCTGGAAGATCGTTAATGTAAATTAAAAAGAGAAAAAAATAGACTAAAAAAAAATTAAACATTGAGTTATCTTCTGAAATAAAAATAATATTCAAAGTCATAGATATGCTCTAATGAGACAATTTCATGAATGATCTTGAAAGACTTACATTACATTATAAAGTCTGGTTAGATAAAGCAACTAGATAAGCAACGCAATTTTCAGTTGAGAAAGAAAACAGAAATCTTTTAGAAGAAGCTACAGTAACACGGGGTTGCTTTTAAATTTTATTTAAACAAAAAGTTACAGATTTAAATTAAATCTGTAACTTTTAAACAGTTAAGTAACGTTTTACAATTTAAAATAGTAAAACTTTTCTGTTTAAAAGTTACAGATGTTTAATTAAACTATTTAAAAATAGCCAAAGTAACCCGTATTACGGTAGTTTTTTATTTTCAAAATTCATTATCTAAAGCAATTATGTCTCCATAAATCATTATCTAAAGCAACTGTCTCCTCAGTATTGTTCAGTTTGTAGATGCATCAAAAAGCAGTATAGGACTAAAGATAAAACCTTGAGGAATCCCTGAAGTTTCAGGATGAAAAGAATGCTGTCCATCGAGGATAACTTTTATACTATGATTGGTAAGAAAGGATTCAATAATCTTAAAGATGTTACCTGATACACCGAAAGTAAAAAACTGATGGAGAAGACCAGCTTGTCAAACTTTATCAAAAACTTTAGAAATTTCGAGAGCGATAACCTTAGCCTCTCCACATCTATCTAATGCACGATAAAACCTATAATTTATTACCGTTAACAAATCAGCAGAAGAACTAGAAGATTGAAATCCATATTGATGATCAGAAAGTAACTTATTAGATTCAAGATAAGAGACTAGGAGCTTATTAATTAGAGACCCAAAAGCCTTGCTTATGATAGGAAAAAGACTAATGTGACGGTAGTTAGACAAGTCAGATCGCTCTTCAGAATTTTGAAAATTGAGATAACAGATGCCGCTTTCCAGCAAGCTAGAAAACTAGTCTCTGATAGGCACTTGTTAAATAGTTTTAAAAGTATAAACAACATCTCCGGAAAACACTTCTGCAAGACTATAACAGGTATATTGTCCGAACCAAAAGCTGTAGAAGAGTCTAAGCAGGAAATTACTTTGGATATAGAAGCTAGAGTGATACGAAATTCAGGCAATTGACTAACCTGTTTGTCGGCTATATCAGGTAGAATGCGATTGGAATCAAGAGATGGTATAGATGAGAAGTTGTTAGCAAACAATTCAGCCTTGTTTATAGGTGAGTTAACAAAGTCGGAACCATACAAGAGAGGTGAAATAACAGATTTGCGCTTATTATAGATGCTGTTAAAGATTCTTTAGAAGTCACAATGACCTAGTTTTTGAGATACAAGATTTTGTGCTATACGCGATATATTTTCGTGAATACAAGATTTCGTGAACTGAGAATAATTTGGCGCTAGAAAAAACCTTTTTTACAATCGTTTCTAGCAATATTAATCGCGTTAACCGTGATCAGAAGCATTTAAGGGAAAGTGTGAAGAAACTAAACACTGGCTAGGATCAGAAACAAGACATAAGTCGAGTAGAGAAGGTAAATGATTTGAATTGTCTGGAAAGCAAGTTGAAAAGTTGACTATTTGTGCTAGAGAATGAGAAAGGCAAAAATTGAGGACCTTAACGCTTGCAGAGTCACTGACACTAGAGTCAAGCCATTCAGCGTGATAAGCATTAAGTCACCAACAAATACGATATTGGATGATGGATAAAAAGAGAGGGCTTGATCAATTTGATTAAAAATAACATCAAAAAGAGTGCAGTCTTTAGATAAAGGAGAACAATATAGAGAAAAGAGAAAGGGATAGAGTGAAGTAGCGATCAACCAAAGCACATAAAGGAATAATGTATGGGAGAATTCTGATAGAAATAATCTAATTTTTACGAATGTATATGCTCAGGCCAAGTATATGACTATTGGAGTCTTGAATTAAAGGAAGATAACCATCAACACTAAGTTCACAATATGATACAGCCGAGTCTCATAAAAGGTCTGGCGAACTTTGCAAGAGATAAGACTCAGAAGAAAATTTACTTTTTATTTACTAATTTTTATACCAGATTAAATACCAGCCGAACTCAGAACCATAAAATTGAGTTTTAGAGCTTTACCCTCATTAGGAGATAATAGAATGAAATACCTAGTCACAAAAACAGAGACACAAGCAATACCCATACATAGAGTCATGAAGATCCAGCATTCAACATCCTAAACTAGAAACAATGTATTATAAATACATGTAAGCCAGTCTAATAGATTAGGAAGGGCTGCAAGACTGGTAAACAGATAGAATCTGTTTACCCCTAAAGTCTTTGTCTAGGAACCCTTGCACAAAACAGTAGCTGGATGAATTTAACGTCTTCTCAAGATGAGTATTTTTATCGAGACACCAACTCTAGCCTTTACTCAACCAAGAGCCCCAAGACAGAGAGTGTTTTAAGTTTGAGTTAGCTTCTCCTAGTCTTTGCCTATAAAAGCATATCCTAAAAGGCAGAAGGACATGAAACAGGTGGTCTGGGTTACATATTACTAGTAGCAGGATAACCTGACCTGATCTGGAACCTGAAATGAAGCCTTTCATCATGTTTTTGTATGCTGTCTTTGATAATAACGTTCTAAGTCTAATATATATTTATGAAAGCTCTTCTTATTAAGACTTTGAATGATATTCTGCGTCTCATTTTAGCATAATAATAATACATCTATATCAAATAAGGATGATTTACAAATTAAAAATACAAAAAATTGCAATGATTGGAGCCTGGGAACAAAAAATCCCTAATATTTTAGCTACACCTGCCCCAATCGTGAGAGCAACAAGTTGATAAAATAATTTTTATACTATTCTTAATTAAATCTATATTCATCGATAAATTTTAAAAATCATCGATAAATTTTAAAATTCACACAAAAATCTCTTAGCATTCAAAAACTATGATCATAAAAAGTTTGAGCCCCCCTCAGTATGAGGGAGTTGCAAATTTTAAAAGGCTATAATTGTTAAGCGCTCAGAGATTATTGTGTAAGTTTTAAAATTTATCGATGAATATAAACTTGGTTATGAATAGTAAAAAAAATATTTCATCAACTTGTTGCTCTCACGTTTGGGGCAGGTGTAGCTAAAATTTTAAGGCCTTTTTGTTCCCAGGCTCCAATCATTGCAATTTTTTGCAAGACATCCTTATTTGGTATAAGTATAAAAATATAAATTTTTGGAGTTTGTTCTATGTCTGGAAGTTAGGTATCTCAAACATTAAAAAATGCTGCATCCGCGCCTGATATTTGTAGGGCCGACGACACGGGTTTTGAAGTGTGTGTGTGTGGGGGAGGGGGGGCACAATCATCAATTTGTAAAAAAAGTCCTCTATATCAAGATTTTTCTTAAAAAAAAAGGTCTTTTATTAAAAAGTGGGGGGGGGGGCACGTGCCGTCTTTAAAAAACCCAGGAGTCGTCGGCCCTGATTAGGTTTGCTTGAAATTATTTTGCGTTTAATTAAGTTATAAACTTTAGATTAGTTATGCATATTTTTTTGTTAATATCCAATGTT